TGGTACTTGATTTTTTTCAACAAACTTAGTCTTTATTGGTCTCCTGAACAAACCCTTCACTCCAGGGTACCTACAGACTTAGCCTTTCCTCAACATGCAGCATGCCCCCCACAACATGCCACCTTTATCTCAATGCAGTTGTCCTTCCTTTGAAATACCTGTTTTCCATTGATGAAAATCTAGTCTGTTTTCCAGAGTTCAACTGAAATACTTCTTTTTTTATGAAGCTTTCCCTGGATTCTTTTTCACCTAAATAGTGACATTTTTCTTTGAAGTCTTACAGCACTTGTGATCTTTTGCATTAATATTATACCTATCCTGTATTGTCCGGTTTTCATAACCATAAATCAACAAGTGTTGTTGACCAAGCTTAGGTGTCATGTGTATTTTCTCAAAAGGATTTGGTGGATTTGACAAGTGAAAAACTCAGCACATGTAAATATTCAATAAAAACTTAGAATAGAATAGCAAATGCCATCTATGTGAATTGCGTTACGGGTTAGAGGACCATGACCTATGCATCATCCTTGAGGTAGAACTAGGGGAAGAAATAATTTACACACTTGCTGAAGGTGTAGCCACAGGTAAAGGACTCTGAGGAATGAGTCTTTGATTGTATCCTTGGTAATACTGAAGATTATTAAGAAGAGACAAGCTACCGGAGGTCATTTGTGTCCAAAGGTTAAGCCAAACCTAGAGTACAACAAATAAGAAGAAAAATAGGATTGTGAGAGAAAAAAAAAATCTGGAAAGGCCTAGAAACCGTGTTTTGGATACTTTATGAGAAAGGGATTTTTAAAAGTTCTAGGGTATTGAAAGTTTACCATTGGTCTCTGCAGTCAGTTTAAATAATTGGCACAGGTTTATCTAGACTCAAGTCAAGACTAAGATAAGGAAATTTACCATACTACAAACTAAGCTGGATATGTAACAGTATGGGAAAGATCCCTGAGATTCAGATTCATTTGCCAAAGTTTGGTCACTTTAACTTGATTCCTACCAGCCAAAAAAGCCACTTAAAAGTTTTAGTTGTGGTGTTGTTTGGTTTGGGGTTTTTTGGGTTGTTTTTTGCGGGAGTATGTTTTTGGTGTGGTGGTGGTGTTGGTGGGGGAGGTGTTAAACCCAGGGCTTGGCATATGTTAGGCATGCTTTCCACCCCTAAGCTACACCATCAGACTTGGTTATCTTTTGTTTTTGTCTTTGACTGACCTCCATGATATTACTAATCAAACATCACTGGGAATAAAAGCACATATAGAAATAAAAAGAAAGGTGTTTTTAGTAATCATAATTCAGACTGGGAAAGAAAAGCTTAGAAATTTAATTCTAACCTTTTGTCTAATGAATATGGTTTTTTGTCCTATTATAAAAAATATCTCATAATAGGTAGAAGATATGGAGGCTTGTCTTTAATGCATTAGAACTGTGTAAGGAAAATATGTTTTCTTAGATTACTTGATTCAAATGAGAGCTTGAATATATAAAGAATTTTTACACTCTTAATGCTTGATTTTTAATCATTAAGGTAGTAATGATACATCAGATAGGGGTTAAATATCTTACTTACTCTAGGGTTCAGTAAGAAATAAATTTCCAAAATTAAGAGAGTTAATATTTTGGTCCAGAAAGTAGCAGGCTGCGATATGGAATCAAGTTTAAAGTGTAGTCAGCCACAATTGCATTCTATTTAGTATGAGCATTGAACCTCTCGTGTCCAGTTTCTTGAGCAGTTTCATCAGCTTAGAATTACATGACAGGATCCTCAGATAGCAAGATCTTAGAATATAGACAGATTATCTTTACAGGTAAGTTTTTTGAACTGAATGTATATCTGCATTGGGCCAGCAGGATACCTGAGCAGAATTATTTTACTATACCCTAAGTGAGCCTGCTGCCAGTATCTAAAACAGGCAAAGGAAGAGTTACGCAGATTTGCTGAAGAACAGCTTTAGGGCGTGTGACAGAGTTATGAAATGCTAGAAAGACTAAAAGTCAACTTACCAGCTACAGGAGAGGGTAGCTCATTTTGTTCCACAGCATTAGTGACAAGGTGCTATTTCAATGATGTTCTCCTAAAAACATAGTCCTTCTGTAAATCAGCTATTGTCCTGTGTACACGTTGAGAATCCTTTACGGACAAACATACTGCCACCAAAGAGTATTTTTACGACTCTTTAAATAGGTGGGACATTGAATAATTCTAGCTAAAGTCACAAAGGGCACAAACTGACTTTCCAGTCAGTTATTATTAGCAGTATACTAGTCTGTATAGTGTAATTAAATTAAATCTCAGCTAGTCTAGATAGCCATTTGCATTGGTGACTGTGACCTGTCCGTATCTATCAAGTTTAGGGCTCTGGTGGAGTTACTTTTCACAACAGGGTTGAACATTTGAGGGCTATTAAAGAACTTTAATAAGAACATCAAGCACCTAGACTCAATTTGAATTTCATTTGAATGGATGGGGTGCCTAGATGACTTGCATGTGCAGTTTATTGAACAGGTATGAACTAACATTTACTTAGGACTTGATTTTAGCGTTCTTTAAAATAAGGGTCTTGGAGGTGTGATAGTGTTTGCTTAGCATGTGCAAGGCCCTGGGTTCAATCCCCAGTACCACAAAAAAAAAAAAAAAAAAAAATTAAACATCTTAAATGTAATCAAGCACAAAACAGGCTCACCTTTGGCTATAGAGATTATCTCCATGCACAGCCATTCCTCATTAGAAAACATTCCTTTTTCTGAGGAAAGCTGTTGGGGACGTTGGACCAGCAAGCAGTAACTCCTCTAATGGAATTTATAAATGGGATAGCTGAGAGCAGCAAGAGTCATTAAATAGGGACCCTTCCACAACTATTTGACAAAATCTGTCCAATCCCAGCTTAGCACTGAGTACTGCTTCCTTTCTTCAGGTTCATGAACACCCAGTAAATCTTAATTTATGTAAAGTGCAAAGCTAGAAGTAAACAGGCATTATCAGCAGACACTGTGATTGAATGTTCACCTGTTTTTATGCCTGGGTTAATATTTTGTGACCAGACCTGCCCCCCAACACATTTGTTTAATAGTGCTGACAGGGTACTTTCTTTACATATGAATTGTGTTGTTTTTTTTTAATGAAGTGTTTAACAAGTTAAGGATTGTTAAATACTAAATCTGTTAAAATGGGCTGTTTTACTATGAAAAGATAGTTCAGTATCTTATACTTCAGATATAGAGCACTTATATAGTTAATTCAGACAGCCTTTTAAGAAATAGAATACTCTTTTGAAATACCTTATTTCATAACTTGATGTTAACCTGTATTAAAAATTATTCTTTGCTTCCTTTTACTTCCGTTTCTCCCCTTTTGGGCCATAGACTTCCTTAGGGAGGAGTGAGGGAGAAGTGAATTCTCATTTCAGCCAATAGAAACTGGAATTGTGCAGTGTTTACTTATTTTGCGTAATACAGGCCCACCCACACACATTATGAGGTGCTTAAGTGAAAGAACACGGAGCAGATAGCTAGCTCTTCAGTGTATGATTCCAAGTGTAATTGGCAGATGCTTTTTAGTATTATCTAGATTTTATCCTCTGGTGAGAAGGTTGTTTGTATAGCGATGGAATGAAAAGGTAGGTGTTCTGTGGCTTGATTTTAAGTGTCATTTTGTCGATGCTTTAGGTTAAAGTAAGCTTGCAAAAGGAATGATTTGGAGCATAATTGGATCATTTATATTTAATTTTTTCATGTTCAGCTTTGGAAGTATGTTTTATGAATTAAATTTCCTTCCATTTTAGAGAAAGGGCTGGATAAATCTCAAGCTCATCTCCTATCAGTCACAAAGAAAGCCTAAGAAATATAACTAACGGTGTTTATTGTCTATTTATTATGTCAACAGAATACTGAAAGCTTTTCATTTCTAATCTTTTTGCACTCCAAGCTTACAGTACTTAGTTTTTTACATGTTTTAGAACATAATGTTTTCTATTATTTTCTTTTCAGTTTCAAATTTGAGAATTATATTGCTCTTGGAAGGAAATTGTTTGGTAGCCAGAATGATTGGTGCTGTCGTTGTACTTTGGTTAGCCGTTGGCAGTTTATTCACAGTCTTCATTTTTCAGCTGTAAATCTTTTCCCAAGAGCCTCTCAAAAAAGAGATCTGGGCCTTTGTGATAATTATGTTTTATTATTTAATATTTAAGCATTATCATAAAGTAGGAGGAAATTATAAAGACTTTGTTTAGAATAGTAACATTCATGCTTTTTGGGGAGTTTAATGTTAGTACCTGAATGTTTTTATTATTCATATGATACAGTAGGAGGAGATTTAATATTCAGGTCTGATGATTGACTAGCAGTACTCTTTATGCTAAAAATGAATAATCTTAAGTTTCTCATCAGTGTTACTTTCTGAAGAATTTTATTTTCACTAAAGGAAAAAGATAATTGAACATTTTCTTCCTATAGGGAATTCATGAAAAGTTTGATCTGATTTCTAGAATATTAATATTTATAATCATTTTTTATCCAATTTCTGTTTGTAGGGGGAAGGTATTCTCTTATATACATGTGAAATGTCAATGACAGAAGTTGCAAATTAGAGGGGAAATTGATCATACTAATTTACCTAATTGGTGTGTTTGTAATGTGATAATATAACAATAATCAGAGTAGAAAATGGAAATCCATAGAAATATCCCAACTATATGTATTTATCATTTTCCTAATGAACAGAGTTAAGAATACCATATTGAGTGATTTAAAATACTCACTGTGCTTTTAAAAAAAATAAATGTTCTTAGCTTCCCACATGCACTGTCTTTACTGTCAAAACAGATTTATGGGGAGCACAGTAATTTGTTCAAAGAAAAATCAACTACTGTTTTAAGAACTTTTTATAAAACAAAAAGATGAAACATTTTTGTGACAGTGAGAGTGGTAATAATTGTCATCTCTTTTTTTATAGGTTGTAGTATTAGGAGATATACCTCTCACAGCCCCCAGACCCCAGCAGTACAGGGGATGGAACCCAGGGCCTTTACACTGAGCTATATCCCCAGCCCTCTATTTTATTGTGAGAGAGGGTCTTGATACTGTGTGTTACCCAGGCTGGGCTTCAGTTTACAATACTCCCACCTTAGCACCCAGAGGGCTAAGATTACAGGTATGTGTCACTATGCCCAGCTCTAATTGTCATCTTTTTTTGTCACTTTTAATAATGATTTCTCTCTATTGATGGTTGACTCTACTGAAGAAATGATATTAAGAGATTTAGCTTGTACTTGTGAAGCTCATTATGGAATTTTGAAATGAAAAGATTTCAAGTTAACTTCTCTATAAGAGGGAATACATGTTGCAAACTTACTTGATTTAGATATACTGTTATCCCCTATGGTAATTAAACATTTATATAGTATTAAATCTTGAAACAGCTATAATTACAGTGGTTTTTTTAAAGGCCTTTGATTATAGTTCAGGGTCTGTTATATATTAGGAGCAGTAGACTGGGGCTTTCTATATGGTATATAAATTGCTACAAAAAATAAGTTATAAATATTTATTAAGATACCAAAAATAAATACGAATCTCCAAGGCAGTCATTAAATCTTATGTGATAGGGCAGTATCACTATTAAGTCAACAAAGTATTTAGTAAGATACATTTTGTATGCCTAATTAAATACACCATAGGAATTTAACAAATGCTTGATTTCTTTTCATTACATTATATCTTTGGAAATCACTTTTTAACTCTCACAGTTTGAATAATTTTAAGATATCAAAAGAAGGAAACAGTATATTTAGTGAATGAACCAAGCACATGGCCCAATATTCAAACCTCTTTGAAGCTTTCTTGTTCTCATTCTGTCCTCATGACACATCCTTTGAAGTATGAGAAGTATTGTCACCATTTTGTAGGATGTGCAAATCATGTGCTACAGAGCTAGTTTGAAATTTCATCAAGGGTTCTGGGGATAGCCTTTATTATTATCAAGGACCCAAGTTTTCAGGGCTGGCCCTATGTACACTTGTGGCTTCACAAGTATCTCTTCTAGTTTGAAGAAAATACTATCATAAAGAAATAATTAGTGATAATAAAATCTTAGACTTTGTAGCTTATTAAGATTTATATTTTAAGGCTTAAAATGAAATATGTCAAAATAACCCAATACTGCTTCTTATTCTTTACTCTTCTCCCCACTTCCATTTTTTTTTCCTTTTTTTTTGGAGACAGGGTCTCACTATGTAGTTCAGGATGACCTTTGACTCATTATGTAGCCCAGGTTGGCCTTGAATTTGCAGCAGTCCTCCAGCCTTAGCCTCCCAGGTGCTGGGATTACAGGAATGCACCACCATGCCTGGCTCTCACAAATTCTTATTTTAAGAGTAGGATTCATGTGGATAGATGGACAGAAGTAATACTATGGGCTATACTAGTAATACTAAGGACTGTAATAATACTATTAAAGATTTTACTGTAAACATCAATTCAGAAGCTATGATATATAGTTCAATATACAAAATGTTTTCTGAGCTAATACCTAGTCCTACAAGGGCATTCAGTGGTAGTGGTAAAATTGTGTTCCTCTCTTTTTTTTTTTTTTTTTTTTAAGAAAAAAAAAAAACATAAAAACATGGTTCTGCTAAATTCTGTCCCAGTGTTTGAATGAATCACTTTGATTCAGATATTACTTTGTCCAGTGAGTAGCCATACTTGTGCAGTAACGGCTTTCCTGAGCAAAGCAGTTACATATAGGACAATTTTGCATTAGAGAAAGGACATGATACTGTGGGCACTGACTTGGCCAGACCAGACAAAGTGGAATTCTGTCACCTGCAGGTCACGGGAAGGGTAAAAACTGGCAAACTTTGACTTTAAAATTCATATTTTGTAGTGCTTTGCATTAGATGTAAAGGCCTTCTTTTGTTTTCTGGTTTTGTCTTTTTAAATTTTTATTTTGAAATAATTTTAGCCTTACAGCAAAATTGGAAAATGAATGCAAGTTTACTTCCATCCTTTATTCAGCTTCCTCTAATATTAACAGCTTATATTATCAGAATATATTTTTCAAAACCAGTAAATTAAATTAACATTGGTGCAATACGATAAACCATATTCCGATTTCACCAGTTTTTCCATTCTTTCCAGAATCCAATTCAGTATCCCATATTGCATATAATTGTTGCATTTGTATAATCTCTTCTAATCCATGACAACTTCTCTCTCTTTGCGTATCTTTTATGACTGTAGGACTTGTTAACACATAGTTATTTTGTAAAGTGTCAGTTTGGTGTTTTCTTGTAATTTGATTGAGGTTATGCACTTTTTTGGTAACATACTTCATTGCATCATAATCAGTAATATGTGATATTAAACTTTCTCCTCCGGTGATGGCAAACCTTTTAGACCTTTCAGTGATAACTGCCTGCTGTGGCAATTGTTGTAAGCAATGTAAAACTCAGTCAGTTTTAACACTGTGCCAGATTTCTGCCACTATGAACCTAACTGTTTTTTCCCTATATAATTAATAATAATTTTAGGGGAGATAATTTGAGACTGTTGTAGCCTTTTTTTTTTTTTTTTCCTAAAGCCATGTAACTTGGTCAGTGTTTTAATAAAAATAAAGATGAAAGAAAATCCAGATGATTCTTTTCTGAGAGTAATTTAACATCCCAGTAATTCTTAAACAATGATTTTGTGAAATAAGCCCGTGACCTATATGTCCATCATCTAGTGTTCCATTTTTCAGTTTCATACATTGGTTTTAATGTAGTGTTTGGGGGAAACCATTTCATTCTTTTTTTTTTTTTTTTTTTCAGATTTAAATTTTAGCCAAAGGACTTTTCAACTCAGATTTAAACAACTGATTGCATTACTGAGAAAGTTAAATGGTTAGTTATTACCATAGAAGTCTATTCTTAAATGTCTGCCCCTGTTAGAACAACAGCATTTTTTATGTAAGCCAGCACTGTGAAATACTTTATGGTAGGAAAGGAGTTGGGGAATTTTTTTGTTTATTGTTTAATTTAATCCCAGTATAGTTTTTCTACCAGTGTACTTTAAAGCTTGATTGTTTCAGCGGTTCCAGAGTGGTAGAACTTGAACTGTAACCTTTGTTTGCTTACCTATAAAGTGAGGGTTATAAGAGTTCCTATCTCATAAGGCTGTTCTGAAGCTTAAACTGGTTAATAGATGTAAAGTGCTTAGAGCAGTGCTTGGCATAGAGACAGAAACCAGCACTAGCCATTGTGAAAATAGACTACCAGTGTTGAATGTCAGCTTTAGAAAGTGGTAGAATTTTCTATGAATAAACTCTCATCCTTTGTTTTTATTCCAAATAACTACCAAATCCAACCAACTTTTCTACTTTCTGCAGAATTTTATTTGATACTTAAATGGTTACTAGGGGAATTTTTAATCTTTCTGAGAACTATATTATCCTTTTAGGAACTTTGGTAGTCTGAAATTGTTGAGTGTAGGCCAAGATTAATAGGAATAATAAAAATACTTGAGTTATTTGTGTTTTTAAAATATATTTTCCAGGTATGAGAAATTAAGTGAGTATTTGGAGGTAGGTTGATGAGGTTGTATTTAAGTAACCCCCTTTCCTAATCAGGAATACTGCCTTGCAGTTTTTCTTGGCTTTCTCATTCAAGGAACACATGAAGCATTTGTCTCTAAGCTGTCTGGACTCAATTCTAATAATGTTTTTCTTCCTGATGGTACCAGGAATTTTGCCTCAATGCAATACCCTGCTTTTTCCCTTGGATTCTTTTCTTCCCTCCTCATTTTTAAAACAAGTATGCAAAAGTCTGTTTTACTTACTAAAGTTTTAATGTTGGTCATTACCAGAAAGCAGAGTTGACAAATAGAATGAGCATTGAGGAAGTGACAAATCTTCAAGGGCCAGGGATATAGTGCAGTGGCACAAGCGCCTGCCTGGCAAGTGCAAGGTCCTGAGTTCAAATCCCAGTACCAAAAAAAAGACGGAAAAAAAAAAAAGCTTCAAATAATCTCAAGAAGCACTAGTCATAGTTGCAAAGTTAGTAGTGTGTGCTGAAGTGTAACTTGTTTAGGGTTTAATCTTTACAAGTATACTTTCTAGTTTCTCTTCTAAATGGTCCCATAATAAGGTCTCTTACTTAACAATTAGCCCATTCAGTCTTGTCTGATGTATGAATCAGTGGTATCAGAAATCCTAGACTACTTCATGTATAGGAGCCAGTGTTTCCCCATTTATAAAATCATTGTACCAAATATAGTTGTGATAGAAATTAAGTGGGATACAATGTCCAGAGTTTGATTCCTGGTTCAAAAAAAAGAAAGAAAGGAAGAAATTAAATGGGATAATGTTTGTTGTAATATATGGATTTCAGTTCTAGCTCTGCCAGACTGCTTTGGCCTTGAACCAGTCACTTGGCCTTTCTAACCCATTCAGTTTCCTTGCCTAGAAAATGGAGTTAGTAAGACTTACTTGCTCAGTCTGTAGTGCTGTTGTGAGGGTCAAATAAAATAATCTTGTGTGAAAACATTTTGCTAATATTCTGTGTATGTGAAGGATAGACTTTGACCCAAGATTGATTCAAATTATCACCCCTTTTAAGAGAATTTTCCCATGTTTCCTAAAGCTTGCTTTTAGTTTTTCTAAGTATAGGTCTCATAGGTCAAAAAGATGCTTCCTTATCTGCCTCTAGCACTGGCCTTATAGCTCTTTCTGTGGCCAACCTAGCTGTAATCCCTGTCCTTTGACCATTTGAAAAAGATTGTCATAATAAAATTTTTTAAGTGCACAAAAACAGTAATTAATTACCATTAAGGCAAGATGATAATTCTCTCATTTTCATAACCATCAATTATAGTAAAATACTGAAACTGTAACAGTTGCCTTCAAAATCATTGCCTTAAAGCACAAGGCTTAATATAAATAACCTTTTAAGAATCAGAGTCAGTGTGATGTTATAAACAAGTGCTTTAAATACCTTACCATGCCAATATGCCAAAAATAGGAGAAATCTCCCTTGTTACAGCAAATTCTGTTATCCTAATTCAAGATTTTGAGCTTTGATTGTCGCAGAAAGGGATTGCTGAAGTAGTTGAGAGATGCTTCTGAACCATCTGCAATGCACTGGCCAGACTCCTACAGTGTCAAAATGTCAGGCTGAGAAACCTTAGTTTAGAGAAGCAAACACTGTCCTTTGGAAATATGTTGTTTTCACACCAGGATGAAAATAGGTCATCCTTGTAGGTGATAGACTCTCAGCATGTCATTTAGCTATTCTGTGAGGAAAGGGAGGCTGGGAGTTTGCACAGGTGGTGCCCTTTATGTTGGGAAGGTGAACATAGACTTTCTCCACTTCTGTGTTGAGAATCTCAAAGATGAAAAGTGGAAACCTCCAATAGTAACCTCTAGCTACTACCTCTGACACTGTTGTTTCTCTTTTGTGTAAAAACACTGCTTATTAAGCCTGTTAATTGTGAAAAAAAGGAAGAAGGTGATTAAATTTTCACTCTTACCAAGAAACTGCTATAGATTTACTTACGTTCAATTATAAGCTGCATTGGTTTCATAAAATGGCTCCACCACAAATATACCTAAACAGCTCTTTCAGTTTGAGTCATCTTTTTGAAATCAACCACAGGGAGTCTCTAGTGTAGATGGAAACCTGTTTCATCAGAGATAATACATGCAGTCCACATATTTTTTCAACATAAAGAAGCATTATAACATTTTCATATGTTAACAGATTGTCCTCCTTTGTTTTTCACTCAGCACCCGTTTATGCCTACCCACTCACCTGCCAAAATAGAAGTGTTCAAAAATTATATAAACATCTATGTGAAATTTGTATTGTCCCTTGGTTATTTGTTTTGGTTCTTTTTATTTTTTCAGGGCAGGGATTTTATACTAGTTTAGTAAGTGGTAAGCAAAATCTACGTGCTGTGTAACTGACTAGTAAAAAAAAATGTGTTATGTTGAGGAACAATGATTGATTTCCTGGCTTCCCTTTCGGTGAAACTGAGTTACATATTATAGAATGTAACTTTCCTTTGGAAATTTTTGATAGAAAAATAATTGTATTTTACTGGCCTTCAAAGAATAAATGATTAAACTATTATATTACTCAAATTAATAAGGTTATTCCTAAGAAATATGTATTTTATGGCTAGCTTTCAATGTTTTCTCAAACACACACAGAAAATAGCACTACTCCAGAATGTTTCTTGAAAAAAATTGTTTTAATTAAGGAAGTTGAGTTCTGACCATTGAGAGAAATATATTTACTTTTCAGAGTTCAAGCAGAGCTTTAAAGTAGTAGATTTTGAAGAAAACAGCCGTATTATCTATCTTAGCAAGATAATCTAACATTTTGTCTAGTCTTGGGTAGAATTAATGGTCGTATTTCATGTTCTTAAAGCTGGATCATACTGGGATGAGATCAGACCAACTAACTTAATTGAAGACCAACAAGTGGGACCAATACTTGAGCCACTGGGATATTCTTTGTATACATATCCATTTCCAGATCTCAAGTGCATGACTTCAGGAATTCATTTTGAACAATTATGTTACTCAAATATAAAAATATAGAAAGAATATGTAAGGAGAATGAATGCAAAGCCACTGTTGCGCTCTCCTTGGTGGTGTTAAAAATTCTTACTCATGAATCTTCATATAAAGATTTCAGCAACCTCTTTTACGAAGAGCACCTGCGAATATTTGTTAGACTCGCAATGAAAGACACTAAGAGAAACAAGAGTCATGGCACATTTTATTTACAGTTTAGAAATGCCACTTACATATCAATTGATTATATGTCATTTTAAACTTAAACTGTTCTCTTTGGTCATTTATGTATATAAACAACACTTCTGAATTGTTTTAAGTTTTAGAGTATAAGAGAGCAATAGACATCAAGTTTGTTTCTTTGATTGAAACTTTGATGTCACTGATAAAGTAATTCAGTATTAGACCTTTTAAAGGACCTAAGCAGAGTAAAATTAGATCTGATTGGAAATATATTGTTTCTCTTACTTAGTTTGGTCAAAGGCTCTTAAAAAGTATAGAATGGAGGATGTATGCTATCCCTGTCCTTACTCTTTGTTTTTTTTGGTCTTGTTTTGTTTTGTCTAAATTAAAAATTGTTTCTTTTGCTGCAGAGGAGGTAGAACTAAACCTATGTAAAATAGTGCAGTACATGTTATTTGTAAATTCTTATGTCAGTACCAGATGGTTGATTATATATTTTCCAGCTCCAAAATTCTGTTCATACCACTTTAGTCCCTTCATTTTTAGAGATCAGGAAACAGATTGCTTCATTTAAAGAGAACTTAGAACACAAGCTAATATGTGATATATACTATCAGTCAAATAAGTCACATAACATTTTCAAATTTTGTCATGTCTGTGTACTTACTAATTCCATTTATTACTGTTTAAATTGACTTTTACTTTAAGTAATCTTTTTGTTAAAAGAAAATTTTTTCTACTAAACATAGAAATTGATCAGTTTCTTTAAATAGAAAGCAGGAATCCAAATCAAAATAAGGCAGTATTATTTTTAAATATTATTTAAAGTTAATTTAAATTTAATTAAATGTTACCAAATTTTTAATTCTTGCTTTTCTTGGTTAGGAATGTGCCAGGGCAGTATTTTCATGTTGGACAGCACGACTGTAATTGTCTAAAAGGCACAGTTAAAGCCTCCAGTTAAGTTTCTGTGTGACTTTTTAAAATGGAATGCTTCTTAGGGAGGAAATTATTTCACATATATCAGAAAGAAGGACTTGTTACATGGAACCAAAGTTGTTTTTTGGTTAATTTGAGTTGGTTTTTTTAAAAAAAACATAAATTTTGAAATTGAAGTTTTTACTTAGCATAGCATGCATCAGTTTCTTTCTCTAAATAGGGAATTTTATCATTGTAGTTTATTTACTTAAGCAAAACATTTTCACACAACCCTAGTGTCTGACAACTCTAACGTGATAAACTGTAATCTAATAAATTAATATTTCATCGGAAAAAGCAGACTTACTGGAGAAATGAGAGGAATTTCTTTCAGTTCATTTGAATGGAGGAAGTGCTTTTATTAAAATAATTCTAATAAGTATGTTGTATTTCATTAAATCACTTTTAAATTTTTAAAAAATAAACATTTGTCCAAATTATTTCTACAAGAGTATTTTATCACCTTCTAAAAAATTAATGGGAGGTCACATGGCTAAGCTTTCTCCTTTGACTTTTCTTTTTTGGGGGGAGGTACTGGAACTCAAAAACTCAGGACCTCAAGCTTGCCAGGCAGGCTCTGTGCTACTGAGCTAAATCCCCGGCCCTCCTTTAATTTTTCTTACTCATTTAGCTACAAATATTCTGTGTTGCTGTCTTTCCAGAATTGCAACTATGTGGGGATACTGTATTTCCCTAAGAAATCTGGTCATTCAAATAGCTTGTTCCCCTATAGATAAGGAAATTCTTTCTACTTTAAAGCTATTTTCTTTGCCTTCACTTTTCAGTTTAATAATGGACATGTCTTGGTGTGGCTGTCTTTAGGTTTATCCAGTGTGCAGTTTGTTCAGCTTCTTCAATTTGTAGTTTTATTTCTCTTTCCAAACTTTTCAGTCATTATTTTGAATGTTCTTTTAGCTCTGCTCTTTTTCTTCTCTCTCCAGTTTAGTTTTATTAGGTCTTTTCCATTTTGCTGTTGAGCCCATCTAAAGCTTTTTTTATTTTGGTTAGTATCTAGTTCTAAAATTTCTACTTCTTTATATTTTACAGTATTTTATCATGGCTGCTTTCAGCTCTTTGTCAGGCAATTCTTAAATCTGTGTCATCTCAATTTTGGCCTCTTCTGACCACTCTGTTGCATTGTTTTAAATATTTCTGGTTCTTGAGATGACGTGTGATTTTTGCATGAAACATATTATGTTCTGAGGCTCTGGATATTTTCTAAACTTCTATTTCCACTTACTTTTCCTGACACTGCTTTAGTAGGGCTGTAGGGGGTGTCTTTTTGTCATTGGTAGATACATACAGAAGTCCAGGTCCTCTATTCAGCCTCCATTGACACCTAAGGAAGGAAAGTCCTTCTTGCTACTATGGAGTGAGGGTGAAAGGAAATCTGGGTTACCAGGTGGTCTCCATTGACATAATTGGGTGAATATAGGAGTATGCTTAGTCATCAGGGTGAAAGTCCTAGAACACTGCATCTTCTCATGCTAGTTCACAAGATGGAAGTCACAGGCCTCACTTAGCTTTTGCTGGGAGAAAGGATCCCCACAGTATTTTCTGTAGTGTTTACTGGAGTAGAACAGTTATTGTCAGAAGTTTTGTCTTGCAAGGCTGCTCTTTTCTTGTTCCTTTAACTAAAATTAAGTTTTTGTTACGGCTTTTTTCTCCTCATGTACCAGTGGACATTTCCAGACTGCCGGCTTCATCAGCTTCAAGTCTGGGGTGTATTAGTGAAAAAGAAAATCCAGAGAACTTAATATCATATTGGTTCTTGAATCCTTAAGTCCGTACCCGTTCTGCTTCTCTTCACTTTCTGTGTCACTTTACATTGTATATATAATGCCCAGGGTTTTTAGTTGTAGCTTGCAGAAATAATAGGGAAAAATACATTTCTGTCTTCCTGTGTTAGGCCCCACGTTTAGGTTTTGATCTGTTTGTGTCAAATATAGAATCATTATTGGGGAAAATGTTACATACTTCATTTATCATGTGATTTGCATAATTATATTCTCAAGTAGACTACTGGAAAATAATATCTTTATTTAAACTGAAATTTGTTGTTCATATTATTAATGAAAAACTTTTCCTCTCTAGGAAATAATGCAAAAAGTGTCCCAAAGCTCCTGACCAGTGAATAGAGATTTGAGAAAGACAACCAAGCTCATGTTTTCTCCTGATCAAGAAAATCATCCATCCAAAGCACCAGTAAAATACGGTGAACTCATTGTCTTAGGGTAAGACAGCAGATGAAATACAAAAATGAATAATATAGTAATTTTGGTTTCTAGGTCAAAAGTACTTTTCTTTTAGAATTTATATCTTCTGAAAAAGAATTTAAAAGTACAGGGTAAGATTATAAAATTAAGAAACTTGCAATTTTTATATTTCTGCTATTTTTATAAGTACTTAAATAGTGCATAAACTTTGCCTCATCCTCACCCAAAAAAGGACATAGTTTCCTTCTCTGTCCCATGTATTAAAAAACTTGCCTCAGGGGGCTGGGGATTTAGCTCAGTGGCAAAAGCGTCTGCCCGGCAAGCGCAAGGTCATGAGTTCGGTTCCCGGTACCAGAAAAAACCAAAAAAAAAAATAAATAAATAAAAAAATAAAAAAATAAAAAACTTGCCTCAGCCAACTTTACCAAAAATCCTTTTCCCTTCTCCTATTTCCCATCATTTTGTGTAGATTAATATTTATTTCCCTTGCTTCTGTAAAGTAATTGTTGCTTTGTGCTTAAGGTCCAACTGCACTGTGCTTCTTAATGAAAGGAAAGACTGAATGAAGCCCAGGGCCTGGCTACTTGTTTACTTCAACAATAATATGTTTAACTATCATATGACCAGTCTGCAGATTGAAGAATAGATAATTTCAGTATTTCGGTTTATTCAGTCTAAGCTTGCCATAATTTTTCAAGGGAAGGAAACAGTGTTGGTCTGTTAATTTAAGTGAGAGTGTTCGTTCTGTCAAATGAGAGTAGAAGAAACTGTAAAGACAGTGTAGAGTTACTAGCTGACTGGGAGTCAGGATTCCTAGATTCCAGTGCATATTCCAACACTGCTGGCTGTGTGACCTTGGACAAGTCAGTTATTTGGGGCCTTACTTTCTTCCCCAATAAAAGACAATTAAGATTATTTATGGCCCTTTATTGGGGGGGGGTTCCCCTCAAATACCAAACTTAAAAGACCGTAAAGTTAAAATGATCACTATAGTATTACAATTTCAAGTCACATAGACTTTAACTGTATTAATGACAACAGTTTTTAGCTACTAAACTTTAACTAGTAACACAATTTTATATTCTTCTGACAGGAAATATGAGAATCTTTGAAGAATAGGATTTAAAACTTAAAATATGGCTTTAAACCACCTCTCTTATCCTAGAAGTTTCTCAGTTAAATATTAATAATTAGTCGTTATGTCTGCATCTGGTTCTTCGTATCTTAAAATTCAAATAATGCTTTTTCCTAACTCTGGAAGAAGTGAAACTGGGCAAAGTTGTCCATTTCCTGCTGTTGCAGTTTAGAAAAAAGTTTTGAATTCAGTAATACAACATGAGAATAGAGACCATAGATCCAGAAGAATGAATTGTGTAACTTAGAAAATAGTAGTGAGAGGGCGGGGAGATAGCTCTGCGGCATAAGCGCCTGCCTGCCAAGCGCAAGGTCCTGAGTTCAATTCCCGGTACCACAAAAAAAAAGAAAATAGTAGTGAGAGGCAGTAAGGAACCCATAGTGAGGCAACAAACAACATAGGATAACAAAGTTAACGTATTGGCCAAGGGGTCCTACTTTATACTTGTAGCAACACTAGCAAGAAGAGGAAGGGCTTTCTGCCAGTGCAAGATTTTTATGTTTTATAAGGGGTCGTGATAAGTTCTATAGATGGCATTCATTGAGTAAACTTTCTTCTTAGCTTTACAACCTAGGTCTTGGGCTGGGGATGTAGCTCAGTGCGCACAGCACCTGCCTGGGAAGTGTGAGGCCCTGAGTTTGATTCCCAGTACCAAAAAAAAAAGTCCTCCTTGTCAGCTACTGTTGCTGGCAATTTTACAATCAACCTCTCCTCCCACCTCAAATCTGTCCCTATTCCCTGCCTCATTGTTGCCTAGATTGATCAGCTATATATAGGAGATCATCAAACCAAAGATCTTTGTCTGGGTTGGGGAACACTGAATGAAGATTATTACTAAATTACTGTTTATGCCTCAGTGAAGGGATAAAGAATGACAAGCATGATAGACATACCAGAGTTCAAATTCTGACTTTGTGTCCTGTGTGTGAACTTCAGAAAATAATTCCTCCGAGCTTGTTTCCTAACCTGTAAAAATGGAACCATTGATACCAGTGTTACAGTTGTGGTGAGGCTCCATTAAGTGAAGTGATGCTTAGTAGCATCTGGTATATAGTAAACACCCGAATGTTTTTGTTTGGGTTTGTTTTTAACATTTCTCCAATTTTTTTTTGTTTTTTTTCCCCAATGTTTGAATCCTTGCTTGCTTCAGGATATATGTATGTTATCACTGAGAAATGGTCGTATATATCCTAAATAACAAAGGTGTGTTTTACAGACATCTCAGCTGGACAGGCTCTGCCAGCACAGAGAGAAAGAGAGAGAGAGAGTGTGTGTGTGTGTGTGTGTGTGTGTGTGTGTGTGTGTTTGTATTTAGGTAGCTAACAGCAGACAAGTTCAAATACTCCTTATTTCAAAAGTTTAGCTATTTAAAGTGTTTGCTTTACAATTAAGAGAGATTCTATTTTAAATAATACATGTTCTTTTAAAAGTTGTATTAGCACATGCAGAAACATTCACGTGAAGAAAATAGGAAAAAAGTGAGTCATAAGGAATCAGATATACCTTTATTCATCTTGTGATTATCTTTAGTAAGAGAATGGAAATATATAAATAGCATGATTCTGTGTGTAATAAAAAATACACTTCTCTATGACTTTAAGTGTAGCCAGAAAGAATAGCATTTAGTTTTATATCCAGGCAGCTGGTCTGCAGATCAGCAATTGCTAAAAGGAATCTGAGATAATTACAATGTGCTAATAGATGATTAATTGGGAACTGATTCTGCAAGGCAGTGTAAAACACATTTTATAATTATGCGATCCTTACAAGAGGTCACCTAAATTTATTTTTTCCTCCCTCAGGTATAATGGGTCTCTCCCAAATGGCGATAGAGGAAGAAGGAAAAGTAGGTTTGCTTTGTTTAAAAGACCTAAGGCAAATGGGGTGAAGCCCAGCACTGTGCATATTGCATGTACTCCTCAGGCTGCAAAGGTAAACAATGAAAATAAAAATTTAAAAACTACGTAAATTAACTTGGAGAAATTGAAAGACTATGTGTTGCTTATATTTTCCAGCATTCCCCTTACATTGCTATTTCAGAAATTTCGTTTTCCTTGGATTGGAAAAGAAACTTTGGAGACATGATATTTGAAAGGCTGCTGAATGAGGGAACTTGGACATGTTTTTAATTGACAAAATAGGATCAGTGGGTGGAAATTAGAAGGAAACATTCTCATTCCTTATTTGAAAAGGTGGACTTGGGCCAGGGTTTTCTCTGGTAATGTTTAGAATTGTGCAGCTATCCACCCTGAGAGGTAGGGAGTTGCTATTCTGTTACTGCAGGGGCCTCGCCTGGGCTGGTGAAAGAATGTCATGCATAACATGTATATTTAGGCCTCAGAAGTCTGTTTGGATGAAGTAATTTTTTAGCTAAAGGTCTTTGTGTAAGATTATTCTCTCTATGCCCTTTTGTGTGTGTGCAAGTGTGTTGGGGCGGGTGTATGACTCATAGCTTTTATCCCAGTCCCTTATACAAAGTAGACCTCAGTAGTTATTAGATTGAATCAAAGCCCTACAAGTACATACTTAATTATATTTACAATATAATTTCTTGCCTACCTGGCTTCTTTAATGCTTCCATACCCCTTTTCCTTTCCCTACCTGCTGTCCAGAACCTGGCCCAGCAGATAAAGCACTTAAGCTTTTTCCCGCAATGGTCGACAAGTAGAAGAAACTTCAGATGTTACATTGTCTGCAAATTCCTTTACTTCCAGTTTTATAACACAAACTGAATTGATATTTTGATGAATAAATTAAAATTAAGGAGTCCTTTGACTCTGAAAGTACCTATATCTTTAGCTAAGTAGCTCTAGGATATGTTTTCATATTATGTACTAAGATTTATCTAAGTTAAATAAATGAGAGACAGTGGGCTCACAGCTTTAGTTCCTGCAAGCAACTAGATGTTTTATTTTATTTTATATTCCATTTGGGGTATAAAACAGAGGCCTCCAACCTTGGCTGGGACTCCTCTATTACTATTTGGAAATCATGAATGTTGAAAAGAGACAGTTTCTTCTTAGGTGTTTATTTTTGCTCATTTGCAGAGAAGGTATGTGTTGAGCAGGTGGTGGTAGTGTATGGCTTATTTATCCCAGTCTGAGAAGTTTATTGCAGCATTTCCCCACAGGAGTACGTTTGGCATTTTGGTGTGCTATTCTTCATTGTACAGGACTGTCCCACATGTTAGAGGATATTTATTTAACCTCAACCACCAAGTACCGTTTGAGCCCTCAGATCATTGTGACAGCGAAAAAATATACTTTCATATTTTCAGATGCCCTTTAGATAGCTAATACTACCCTCTAGTTGAGAACCATTATAAGGAAAAAATATTTATAGTCTCTACCTCTAAATTGTCCAGTTTTATATCTGTCTTCATTTTTTTTAGTTCTAATGTCCTTCATTTTTTCATTGTTACTTCGTTTTCATCTTTATGAGGCAACAAGAATCTTAGGTATCAAAGGTTTGACTCCTTTTTCAATTTTGGAGGAATACGTTAGTGAGGTAGTGATGAAAACCTAATTGTTTAGTCTGGCAGTCATCTGGGATGAGTGATTAAAACCCTGCCTGCCAGTTCAATGAGATTCAGATATAACTTGACAGTTTTTATTCCTAAGTGCAGTGTAGCCTCCGTAGCAAAAAAACCAATCTCAAGTCACACAAAAACCAGTGTTTTTAATTTCTTTAGACATTAATAACTTCCAAAATACTAAGAAATTATTTGAAAACTCAGTTGCTTAATGCTGAGTTTTTAGATTTTAAAATCTTTGAAGCAATTATATAATGTTCGTGAGGACGTAAATTTGTGGTAAAAAAATATCAACAAAAGTCTATATAAATTTTCTATACTGTGTTCATGAGGTTGAATCAGCTATATGGACAAAGGAGAATAGGTAGTGACTTGTAGGCAATCTCAGTGTATCTCTATACAGAGTTTAAAAAAAATTAGAAGCACGTATCATTTTAAGCCTTCATAAAGCTGGGTAGTTAGTACCCAGGTATTTGTTTATTTTCTGGGAGAATTTGAAAATTAATGTTCTTAAAGCTTATATTTTAAGCCTTTCTTCACTAAAAATTGAAACAAAATAAAACATTAAAAATGCCAAACTTAATTAAGAAACTTTTTCTTCATTTAGCTACTTTTTATGTGCAATCATTTTTGTCTTTGTATCTGTTTTCCTTTTTATGCAGCCTGTTTTCACTTCCTTTGTGCAGTGACTAGGTTCTCCATCCCCTCCCATATTATCCAATCATATACACAGAAAAAGCCTGAAAACAAAACTTTTAGCCGTGCTTTTAGTTAGAGATAAGTCAGAAGTACAGTCATAAGCATTGTACCCATTTCCTTTGGTAATGTTTAATCATTCTATGGATTTTTCTGGATCTGGCCCAGCATAGGTAAACATTTGTCATCTGTCGAGTCACAAATTTGTTAGAAGACCATGAACTCTGCTTATTGATTAATTTTATAACTAAATAATTTTAAATATGATTCTTACCTTGCTAGATTTTGTATTTGCTCCTTATCAGAAAGGTACTAGATATTGTTTTCTGTTTCTATATGGAATTTGGTTTTGATCACTTTATAGTTTTAAATACTTATAAGGGAGGTCCAGATTTTACAGTGTTTATTTTTTTTAATTACAATCTTACTCTGTAATTGATCCTTCCATTCAGTCTGAGTGAAGGTATTGTCACAACTGAGGTTGTACAAGAATTACTAACCTCTACCCTAAATTTCAAGAGAGAAATAAATAACTGTATCATATATGTAGTAAATAGTTTTACCTTCTTTAATGAAAAGACTTTCTGATTTGGTTTACCTACCTACTGATTTTTGCTATTAACCTTTTCATTTATAGGCAATAAGCAATAAGGACCAGCATAGCATATCATATACCTTATCTCGGGCCCAGACAGTGGTGGTTGAATATACTTATGACAGCAACACCGATATGTTTCAGGTATTATAACATATGAATATTTTTTCGTAAAAAAGTCTATTGTCAATGATATTTCTATGGTCAGATTAGGGATTATTTTTAAAATGTATTGACTTCTCAGTTTTGTGACATGATTAAAAGATGGGCTCTAGAGCCAGGCATGGTGGTGCACGCCTGTAATCCCAGCATTCGGGAGGCTGAGGCAGGAGGATTGTTGCGAGTTCAAGGCCAGCCTGAGCTACAAAGTGAGCTCAAGGTCAGCCTAAACTGCATAGCCAGACCCTGTCTTGAAAAGACAAAAAAAAAAAAAAAAAAAAAGATGGGCTCTGGAATCAGAATTCCTGGTAAACATTGTCAGTGTATGCCTCAGTGCAGATAATAGCATCTCCCTCATGACTGTTAGGAAGCTTAAATGAGTTTGTGCGTGTAAAGCACTCAGAGCTGTGTCAGCTACATAGTAAATGCTTAGTAAATGTTCGCTGTTACTATCCACAAATAGAAACCAATAAATATTTTACACATATTTGTGACTTTTTATGCTACTTCCTCCCATCTTCCTCTGGAGGCAACAAAAAGTTCAGGCAGTTTCTGACTATTCATATCATATATGTGAAGTCATTCATGAATGAGCCATTGGTAGTATATATTTGCTTTTCAGCACATATTTGGTCATAGCTATTGGTACAACCTGTTTGTTTTTTCTCTCATCCTTTGTGCCAGTACAGTACTGCTATTTTTACAAACTGATATATTATAGAACAATTAAGCCCAAAGAAGTAAGCAAAATTCTTAATCTTTTGTAATACTGGCTTTTCTAAAGACAATACTGGATTTTCTAAAGAAACCTAAGAAGGATATAAATTACCTGATAATGTTGTTCTTATAATTATTGTCCCAATTAATTTCCATTTTTCTTTATTTTACATGATTAAATAAGGATATTTACATCTTCCTTGCTTTTATGAAAACTAATAATATCCTTCTAAAGATGAAGGTTTTGATACCAACGAAAACCTAACATAAAGTTTTAGAATGATTTTCTACATGTTATTTCACTGATAAGCATTTAAAATGATTGTATGTAGCTTTTTTAAAAAATCAGGATGGGCATGGTGGCACACACCTGTAATCTTAATACTCTGGAAGACTGAGGCAGGGGAATTGCAGGCTTTAGCCCAGCCTGGACAACTTAGCAAGACCTTATCTTAAAACTTAAAAAATATAAAAGAGCCAATGTAACTCAGTGCTTAAACTCATAGTTCAATTACTGCAAAAAAGATGATTGATAGGTAGATAGATAGATAGATAGATAGATAGATAGATAGGAAAGAAAAAAATTTGATCACAGACTACAGTTTTGGCTTCAAAAATTGTTATCCCTTATCTTCTCTGGCTGGTTTTCTCTTTTTCATATAAAATTTTTCCTAGTGTCACAAATCATGCCTTTTGTGCAGGCATTGTATCTATGGAAAAATCCAAACATTTCTGCATCAAAAAACTGGAAATACACCAAACTACCCTAGTAAGTTCTTTGAGGAGTTGATTTTGTAAACATTTTGGATTATCTGATTTTTACACTGAAACTTTTTTTTAAGATTTCAACTATCAGATATTCATATTCCTTCTTTATTACATGTTTAGGTGCTATACTATGTCTAAATGTAAAGTGCAGATTTCTGATTGAGGAGAGGAAGGATCTTTAAATGTAGCACCTTTTATCTGGACCTTTTTATCAGATTAACTAGCGTTTTTGCCAGCAACCAGTAGAAAACGATCTGGCAAATGAGACAGCAAAAAATATTAGACAGTATGGTACAAGATTAATGAATGAGCTACTGGTAGTACTGTATATTTTGTGTACAGAAATAGCAAGAAATCAGGCTGGATTGATAAGGAAGTGAATCGTCAGTCAGTTTCTAACTCTATTGCGTGTGTGTGTGTGTGTGTGGTACTGGGGATCAGATCCAGTGCGTCATGTATGCTAGGCAGGCACTCTACCGCTGAGCTACAGCCCCAGCCTAACATCTATATTTTTAAAGCCAACTGTAGCACTTAACTTAGAGGAAGAATTACTGGCATTTATCATAACAGAATTATATTTTAACATCTGATCATACTTGAGTAAGTTTTTCTCTTTATGGGTTTTAAGCTTTCTTCATTCACACTTACCATTACCAATAATACTTTGGTAGCTTCAGTCTTCTCCAAGGCCCAGATCAAATGTTGACTCCGAAACTCTTTTCCCAAAGAAGTATTGCTTCTGCCTGATTTTTAGTATTAATTCTCAGTGTAGTCCTTGCCCTATACCTGTCATTTAAAAAGCTTTCTATTTTGGAAAGTTTTTAATTTCAAAGGTCTGGAATGTTTTCTTTGGATGTCATTGTCTTAAAAATTAAAGGGGGAGGGAGAGCCCATCTTATGTAGGCTAACCTAAAACTATCCACACTAAACATAAAGGCTTTGTATTTGATTACATGACCTAAATGCTAAATGGTTTTATCTAAAAGTGTGCTGTTATGAGGAACTCTTGAGGCTCAGCTATGCAAAGAATTACTTTTAAAATCTTTATAAAGGGTTAGTATTTTTCTCAGTACCCACATTCTTTAGTTTTATAATACTGCTTTGTAACAAATATACTAATGAAGTGATAATTTATGAATGTCACTTTGTCGTCTACTTATTTCATTTTTTTATTTCAACTTTCAAAATAAGGGTAACTTACTATTGACTAGCTATTCTGAAGATGTTTTTAATTTTCTGACACCTAACCCAGTCAGAACTCTTTATCTGAGAACCTTCTTTCTCAGAAATATGAGCAAGAACCAAGAAGAAAATGAAAAGGACATCTAGACATATAAAATAAATGCCACAAAATCTATGCACTGAAATTTTTTTTTTTTTTTTTTTTCCTGGAGAATCCCTTAGACTCTCACCAAGAGCTATTTGAAATACTGTTCTTTAAAGTGAAGTTTGGTTTATTTGATTTCTCCACCCATGTAAGAATAAAAATAGCTGCTCAGAGGAGAGGCTTATTGTTGGAAACAAGCATAACCAAAAACAAGAAGTGATAGTTCATAACCTGATAGAAAAAACATGAGAAAAATCTGGGAATTGTATGTACATAAAAACTTAAAACAAGGCTATGCAGTCCCTTAACATAAGGATCAGTGTTCTCGTAGCACATGAAGACATCATTGCATTTCAGCTTTATATAAATAGTGTAATACCTGGAGTCATCATAATAGATTCACTTATGTGTTCAGTATATTATATTTTAAAAAGATAGAATAATCCATGATAGGCATATTTCCACCCAAAGGGGTTAAAGTTTGTAGCCATCTATAAATCTCAGCCATCTAAACTTTAATTTCCCTGAGGGTTTTATAAATTCTGAAGTTCTGAATTTCATAAGTTGCAACTTTATTCTGTGTTCCAAGTGATGACTACATCAGAGAGAGTCTTAACAGATTATTTCTCAAGAATGTAGATGCTCCCCAAGTTAAGTGTGGTAAGTTTAAGCTTTAAAAATTTCAGAGACTTCATGTTTCACCATATTATTGCTTTTCTGGAATGGATTTTCCATTGTATTCTTTGAATGGGTCTTACAAGTATTTATTTTTCCTATAGATTGGTCGGTCGACTGAAAGTCCTATTGACTTTGTAGTAACTGACACAGTTCCTGGAAGTCAGAGCAATTCTGATACACAGTCAGTGCAAAGCACTATATCAAGATTTGCCTGTAGAATCATATGTGAACGGAATCCCCCTTTTACAGCACGGATTTATGCTGCAGGATTTGATTCATCAAAAAACATCTTTCTTGGGGTAAGATGCTTTTTTTCCCTAAATGGTACATTCTTTTATACTAGTTTCTATTTCCAAACTACAAATAAATGGAGGCTTATTATTATTTCTGTAGGAAAAGGCTGCCAAATGGAAGACATCTGATGGGCAAATGGATGGCCTGACCACTAATGGTGTTCTTGTGATGCATCCACGCAATGGGTTCACAGAAGACTCTAAGCCTGGAATATGGAGAGAAATATCAGTGTGTGGAAATGTATTCAGCCTACGTGAAACCAGATCAGCTCAGCAAAGAGGAAAAATGGTAAGTAATGAAAGGTAGCTTCTTATGTAGCTACCATAAGCACATAGGATGAGTTGGACTGAATAAATCATGAGTATTTTTAATAAACTCCTGAATCTGTTGCCAACACAAAGAACTAAGTGTATCAAACACTGACTACCAAATATACTAGAGGGTAATATCTTACTGTTTCAGTTTGAAATTGTAAAAATTTATTCATCTGTCACCTTATATCAATGTATTTTAAAACCTAAGCTATTCTAGATTAAACAGCACTTTGACCTTTCTACTTCTAATTTTGGTCTAAATATCTTTGACCCTATTTACCTAATTAAAAGTATTAGGCTATTGCTCACCCAGATTTTTAATCATAAATTATCTGTAAGGCTAAAAAGAGATATATTTTCAGTACATAATATTTACATTCCTTGTGTAAAGTTGCTACATATAATAACACATCTTAATTCCTTTTTCATTCCCTTTCCCTACTCTCCAGCACCTCCCCTCATGTCTCAGTCCCCTGCCTGTTATGTTTGTTTTGCTCTTTATTTATAATTTGGGTTTCTCATATAAGAGAATCCATGCAATATTTAAGCTTATGTTCTCATTTTACTTAACACTATGGTCTCCAGGTGCATCCATTTTACAAACATATACTAATAATAGTTTTAAGAAAAAAAAGTTAAAATGTATTATGAAGTATTATAATAATGTGCAGTGCATGTTTAAATTTTAAAAAATCTTATAGTAAATGACACATTACTATTATTCCCTCTTACAGTACTCCCCTTCGCTAGAAGCACACCCCATCATTCTTGCCACTTTCTTAGGCAATTCAGAAAGTCCTCTTTCATGAATGTCTCATAATGAGGTATCATCAGAAATACACTGATTGCTGCTGCTGAGTGCCATTTAGTGGTAAGGCAGACTCATAAAAGCATTACGGTATGTCATCATCCACCAGATCTGGCATTGTGTGATTTCTGACTCTTCCACAAAGTCAAAATAAGCATGAAAGATGTTTTAAATCAGTTTAGGACATCAAGGCAGCTACGATAGCACAACTAAAGGTTTACAAAAGAGGACTGCAGGACTGCTTCAGAAAGTGGCAAGAATAGTGTGGGATAAGTGTTCAAAGTAGGGGTGGAGGGGTTGGTGTGTCTTGAAAGTGATTAATGTTATGCTATAGTACATTTTTAAAATTTAAACATTCACCGTATTTTTCAGTCATACTGCATATTGTTCAGTATTTTATCCTTGATTTTCAAACTTACATTCTACTAACTGCAATTAGAGTTTCTTGAGTATTTAATGGATAATCCTAGGAAACCTCATTTCTTGAGTAAGGAACCAAAAGTCCTTCTGTGACTAAAAGTCTTAATGAGAAAATTCAAAACATGGTGATGACTGTGTTTTTGTGTGATTTTTGTCTCCTTTAGGTGGAAATTGAAACCAATCAGTTGCAAGATGGCTCATTAATTGACCTCTGTGGTGCAACATTGCTCTGGCGTACTGCAGAAGGCCTTTCCCACACTCCTACCGTGAAGCATTTAGAAGCTTTAAGACAGGAAATTAATGCAGCAAGACCTCAGTGCCCTGTAGGGTTCAACACACTAGCATTTCCCAGTATGAAGAGGAAAGATGTTGTAGATGAAAAACAACCATGGGTGTATCTAAACTGCGGCCATGTACATGGCTATCATAACTGGGGAAACAAAGAAGAACGTGATGGAAAAGATCGTGAATGTCCTATGTGTAGGTCTGTTGGTCCCTATGTCCCTCTGTGGCTTGGATGTGAAGCTGGATTTTATGTGGACGCCGGCCCTCCAACCCATGCGTTTAGCCCTTGTGGGCATGTGTGTTCAGAGAAGACGACGGCCTATTGGTCCCAGATCCCACTTCCTCATGGTACTCATACTTTTCACGCAGCTTGTCCCTTCTGTGCACATCAGTTGGCTGGTGAACAAGGCTACATCAGACTTATTTTCCAAGGACCGCTAGACTAACAAACAGTTGTCCTCCAGGACTACATTATAAATTTATAAGCTAAGTGAGTTGGGTTTTCCAACCTGTTGTCCATATTACAGTTTCTCTGCTCTGGTTATTTGCATTAAGATGAAGAATTTTTGTAAACATTTATAATAAATAATAGCAATTTCTGAGCAAAAATCTAGGAAATTCAAGTAAATGAATTTTTGAAAGTACCAGACTATTGAATTCTGAGTTTTTGAAAATATATTTTGAGGAGAAAAAGACATAGTCTAATTTGATGCCTTCATTTTAGTGTTTTTGAATCACCCATCCTCAGTGTTGAGAAATTGTTTTGTATAACTGAGGGTACTGTTGGTTCAAACTATGTTAGTTTACAGTTTGTTGCAAACATTGTAAAATAGAGCAACATGTATATTAACTTTTTTTCTATTTATCTTTATTTTAGAAAATATAGAATGTTCTTGATAGAGTAGCATGATAATGATGGTGTCACACCTTTGGTGTGAATGGTAGCTTAGTGAGCACATAGCTCAAGGATTTGTCAAGTTAGGAAGAAGGACAAGAAAGCCTCTTTCCCCACCCCCATGTAAGTGTAGAATTTGGTAAATTTAAATACTTTAAAACCAAATTCACATTAATTACCATTGTGTAAGAGGTGTTTGTTTTTAACCACATTGAAGATAATCAGGAAAGATTTTTTTCCTTAATGTTTCTCTCAAGTGTAGTACTATAACAAAACTTAATGCTAAGAAACATTTTATATACTCCTTTGAATATGCAATTTAATCTAGATTATCTATTTTTCTCCCATGATAACTAATCTTTTTTTAGTATCAGTAACATTTGGCAAGTTTATTTTTTGGGTATAAACTGGATCATCTGTTCACTGTTTCTAGAAAAAAATGAAAAAGCATAAATTAACAAGAAAAGAGTGTAAATTGATTTGCTTTTAGAAAAAGAAATGCTTAATTATTCTGTATGTGGTTTTATCCAAGCATTAGAAAATCTAGAGGTATGAAAGGTTGAATGACAGTAGTGCCCCCCTTTTTTAACCTAGCAGATCAGCCTTAACTGTGGGCCTGAATACTAAGGAGTGTTGCTACAGCGTGACTCGAATAAAGGTTTGATTGGCACACAAGCACCAATGACAGCAGAGTAGAGGGACACACTTGAAAGGTCTGTTTATGCTCTACTCCAGTAAGTCCTCTGCTTCGAGAAGCAAGAAAAAAGTTTCTCCTCCTCTCAGACCCCTCTTTTAAATGCAGCACAAGGAAAGTACAGACCATTGCACTACATCAACCCCTTTTTGACACTTGCAGAAATCAGTATACTTTTAAACAGGATCATTGTTTTTAGTCTTTTGATTTCCTTTAGTTTGAAAAGTGTATGATACTTAATTGACCGCAAATTTTTGTATGTGGTAGCATAGCTTTAATTTATCCTATTACATCACTGTTCTGAATTTTTTTAAAAAATTCCTTGGGTAAAAAAAAAAGTCGCTTAGAAGCCATGAACTATTTTATTTTACTTTGTCAAAATTCTTTGTTTTTAAAAATGATCGTTTGGGTTCACTCAGGAAATGCATGTCAGGAAACTTGTATTATAAGTTTTTTCGTTGTGATGTATCAGTAACTGCTGTTACCCTTTTTTTGAAGAAATATAATTGATTTTAAAGTTTTCTAGATTGTCACATGCTTTGTGACTAATGCAAGGAAATCAAGTCCTGTGTTGTATTTGTTCCAGTTATTTCTATTCAGGCTATATATTGTAGCTTAATTTTTATTTGCAATTAATTTATTCAAACTAAGTAAATTCTTTTCAAAATAGATATTTGAGTTTGTCTCTGCGAGTTCCTTTTTGTATAGCAAGAGTGGGACACCAGAAGTGAAAACTAGACAGATCTACCCCATATTTTAAGAATACTCATTTGAAAGAGATGTGGAATTTGCAGTTAATATACTTTTTTTTTCTCTTGTAATACTGGAATAACCCCCAGGGCCTCTTGAATGCTAGGCAAGCACTATGCCGCTGAGCGACACCCTAGACATGTTCTCTTTCTAGTTTATTCAAACATTGTATGGTACCTACTGTTTACATCCCTTGTATGGAGTTGGTGAGTGTGCGTAGCCATCTTAACTCCATTCTTCTTGACCCCCTTTCCCTTTTCTGGTGCATGCTCACAGTACATAGTGTGTGTTCTTTGTGTGGAATTGGTACATGTGATACACCCCAATTCTTTTTTTCACCTCTTATTCTTTCCCCTTCACTTTTGAGAAGAATTTATCTCCCTACTTCCTGTTACCTATGTTTTATTTTGCTCTTTATTTTTCCTGTGGGTTTGAAACAGGGTCTGGCTAAATTTCCCAGGTTCGCCTCAAACTTACGATCCCCAAGTCTCTCCCCCAAGTAGCTGGGATTACTGGGGTGTGCCACCACAGCAGGCAGCATAGCACTTGAAAGTCTCTGGTTCTTTTTTTAAATAATCTCTTATTTATTAATAAAGGAACTTGATGGTGGTTAAAAAATGAAGCCCTTCTCTAAATGGAGTCCCTAGAGAGTTGGCTCTTTATAGTTGCATAATAGGTACTTCAGTGATCATAAAGTTTCATGTTCGCCTTAAAGCACCTGAATTTCCTTCTGGCAGTTGGGAAAAACCTGGTTCACTTTCTATCACACTCAAGTTTTAAAGAATTAGGCAGTGTAAATCATTAAGTGTTTTCTGTTCAGGCTTTCTGAATGTCAGTTTTGTCATTTTGCCAGTGCCTAATAGAACACTTCTACTTGTTCATTTGTATTAAAGCAGTTTCAGTATTTTAAGTCTTTTAAATGCACTCTCAAGAAAGAGAATCTTGGGCCAGCGATACAGCTCAGTGGCACAGTGCCTGCCTGGTAAACACAAGGTCATGAGTGCAATTCCTGGTACCAAAAAAAGAAAGAAAGAAAATCCTTATGGCTTAACTCTTATCGAAGCAATTTCACGTTTATAAGTTACTTCATTTGTGTAGGGAATTCAGTTGGCTTTCATCTAACATGTTAGCCATAAAGTAAAACATGGAGGGCAGACATTCAGTCTTTTTACCAGGTTATCTGCTTGAAGCTGTAAGTCATAAAAATCTGGTAGATGTAAAACAGGGTAGAAATAAATGATAATGCAAATATGTAACGTCTAATACTTGAGTATCCCTGTTACACTCTTCCCTCAAGATACCTCAAGAACCAAGAATGACCCATGACCTGACACAAACTGAGTAAAGGCACCAGTAGAAATCTATCCATTATTCCTTTAAATGTATAAGATAAATAATTCTAACACTTTGGCTCTTCATTCCGATGTATCATGTGCTGCCCTACTTCAGAAATGTTAGGTAATAGATCTGCAATCCATCCTTTTCTCTGTATGCTCCTAAGCATTAACCCTGTAGTAAATCAGACGAGCAAAACTACATAATTGAGTTATATCTAATACTCCCACTTTTGGAATTCTTCATATAAAGTGTACTTTAGTAACTTGCCTTCAAATTGTATCTACTTATTCATATAATAGAATACTATGCACCAAGTCCTGCTGTAAATAATGGGTGATGTACCAGGAAGAGAAGATCCTTTGATGTGATTTGTATTGTAATGAGGAAGATAGAATGAGTAAGAAAAAAGTAAAAATTACAACATGATAGGTAGCAAGAGTGCTGAGGGGCAAATAGAAAAGGTAGATACAAAGTATGTGTTGGGGAATATAGTGTCTACGATAGCAAATGGGAGGGCCAGGGGAAGTCCCACTGGGAAGGTGGTATTTGAGTAAAGATTTGAAGGGGCTGAAGGGTTCTAGGAGAGAACATTTAGGCAAAGGAAAGTCATCATAAAGACTTTGTAATGGAAGTCTGCCCCGAAATCTTCTATAATAGCAAAGAGGCCAGTGTGGCAGAGAGGTGTGAAAAAGGGGAAGAGTAGTAAAGTAAAAATGACACAGTTACGGGGAGGTTTGGGATGAAATTGGATTATGAAAGGCCTCCTGAGATTTGGGGCTTGTATTCTGAGTGGTATCGGAGACTGGAAGGTTTTGAACATGGAGTGACATGATCTGACTAATACCTGAATAAAATCCAAACAGACTGAAGGTGAGGGCAAGAAGACGGTTGCAGTAATCCTGGAGAGAAAGGATAGTGGCTGGGATCAAGGTGGTGACATGGAGATGGTTTGAGAAGAGATCAGATTTTGGGGTGTTCTTTTTTTTTTTTTTGGTTTTGGTTTTGGTTTTTTGCAGACAGTTGACAGCATTTGCTGGCAGGTCAGCTGTGGAATATGAAAAATGATTCTACTCGGGTATCAGGGTGTAGCTCTGCTATAGCACAAAGCACACAGTTCAATTCCCAGTGTATGCACACACAAAGACTTAGTTCAGTCAGCTTCAGCAACTGGAAGGATGGAATTAATAAGGGAACAGGCACGCCAGTGGTGCAGTCAGGAGCATTAGATCAAGTGAGCCTCCTTTTACACAAGATTTTTGCCAAATGTGGAGTGTTTTTTTAAACTACTAAAGCTCCCCAATTATTATGATTATGATCAGTGTCCTCTATACACCCTATGCTAGTTTAGAAACAGATCAACAAAGTATTCCTCTGGGTTAATGGTGGACTTCCTTTCATTGAAATAGAGTTAGGACAACTCTCATGTTTCTCTTTGCTTTGGCTACTCTCTGAGGAAATGAAATTCTGTTCTCAACTGCAGTAACTTCCTTTAACTGAAATATTCTGATAGTTTTTCTTCCTTCTCACCCATGTACACCCTTTTACTTGGCTCTTGCCTTTTTAAATAAAATCTCCCCAGTTTTCTTGAATCAGTATGTGACTACTTCAGATCCCTTTTGCAGTGGCAGAATACAAGTTTGTATTTTTCCTTGAAGTTTTTTTTTAATATTCAAGTGCTTATGAAAAACAATTCTTGAAACTGTTTTATAAATGAAGCTTTTAATTTCCAGTATCCCTGAAGGAAATATGCCTCTCTTTGATAATTGTCAATAAAAAAGAGTAAGAGTAAATAAGATCAAAAGAGTTTCCTAGTAATTGTCATAAAATGTCATATCCAAACATTGTGTCAGATGATACGGTGAGAATGCTAGATTCTTTAGTCCATATTCGATTGTAAACCCAGCTATGTAAGTCCAAATTAAACCATTGCATAAAATAAATTCATCACAGCTAACGCTTGTTCACTCTTTGTCAAGCACTGCTCAAAGTGTACTGTGCTAATGGTATTAGAGATATTTAAAACCCAAAAATCCTTAGGAGGTAGGAATGATTATCTCCATTTTGCAGTGGAGACCAGCCTTAGCAATATAACTTGCCCAAGGTTCACATGGTTTATAGTGGATGGACTCAGAATTTGAACTTTCAAAGTCTCACCTTGTTTGTGTGTACAGAGCCATCACATTTTCTGCTTCTCTCATTTTAGTGTTGGAATGCACTTGAAGGGATTTTTTTCTAAGCTAGTAAATAAGTGTCATGTGTACATGAAATTGATTGAGCCACATGTAGATGTTCAGAAAATATTCCTTGAATGATGAAAGAAAACTGAGAACTCAACTTTGAAGCTACCAAAGCAGTCTCCAAATGGGCACATTAGCAAAAAAATCAGAAGAATGGTTACAGAGGCTTTTTGATCAGAAAATACATTTACCTGGGTTGAAAGAAACAAGAGAAAAGGAGACACTACACGAATGGCACTAACTGGAAGTTTGACAGGACAGCGGGAAGAAAACCATGGATGGCGCCAGAAGAGACAAACAGGATTATCATGGAGAACAGACAAGAAATACCAATTGTAGTTGAAAAGCTTGTCAATCAGACGTTTAATTTTTTGAGATCCTGTTGACACAGAAGGCAGCCCATATTGAAAGGGAAAATTAAGATTAGATGTTCTTGAAGTTGTATTAGTATATTACTGTAAAACTTGATTTTTTAGAAATTAGAATATAAATCCAGGAGATCTTGAGAAGCTACAGATGAAATTAAAGCCTAGTTAGGTAAAGTAATTATTAATAGATGTGGTATTAGAATCTCAACTCTCTAGGTCTATCCTCAGTCCTGTGATTATCATAAATTTGAGTCACCAAGATTTAGTTATTTGATGTTTTGATTATTGAAGCAGAGGTAAGTAGTTTTTAATTTTTAAATTACAAGTCTGCAGAATGAAAATAACCTTTATTATCATGCAAATAATGGTGGGGGGTGGTCTGCTTCAGACTTCTTTATTCCTGGTTTGGAAATGAAAGACAAAAGTAGGGAGAATCAAGAGTTTTGCTAGGTGCAGTGGCACACTCCTATAGTCCCACCTGTGAGAACCGCTTGAGGCCAAAAGTTCAAGGGCAGTGTGGGTAGAAATACCCCAGTAGTTCCCCTTGCAGCCTTCAGGTATTTTACATAAATCTGTGATGAATCACTCAGCAGTTGTGAGTGCTCACTCAATGACACAGCTCTTATTTTACTTTTCTACTTGTGAAATAGGACAGTTATTTTGGATACCACATCTCTGCAGAAATTCGATGCATTTACAGGCTCTCCAGTTTCACTTGGCGTCTTTGTCAGGTTCTTTTTTGAAAATTAGTTACTTGAAATGGAGGTGATAATGAATGACAAGGTGTCATAATGACTATATTGTCAAACAAAAACTTTCTCAGTTCACGATAGAGTTGAATAATAGTAATCTGAACTCCAAATGGCCAAACCTTGAATCACGAGGGGTAAATCTCTAGGTGAGGAGCAGGAGTTGAACTGGACCGAGTGTACACGGATGAGAGAGAGATGGTGGCACTGGCCATCAGGTATATGTACA